TTATATGCCTGTATAGATTAGTTGTGGAACTTCCCAGGAACAACATTGTGTTGCAAAATATGGAAAAATTAAACCCAAAAAAATCTCTCAGCTCATAATGTGCTTGCTAGTGCCGCCCTGTTCTCTCCAAAGTCTGTTCCAGTTTTTTTTTAGCTGGAGTATCAATTTTCAAATGATGAAACTCATATCATTTCCACTTACATCCTACTATGCCTTTCAAACATTTGTCAAGGAGACTTCTTCTTGAGTAAGAATTCTGCTGTTCTTAATTTTATCCTGCCTGAATATACCTCTTTGTCTTTCTTTAAACATTTTACTGTATCCTTTCTGGTTTTAGCTTTTAGATTATTGTAGTTTTTAGCTCTTGCATGACCGGGGTGGCCATTCTTAGCTCTTAGTCACTCTCAAGATTATATTTCCCTAACATTAGTTTCACCTTTCCCTGAAATCTCTCCAGTTTTCCTATTGTTTTCTAGATACAAATTCACCAGAGTCTTTATAGGTGTGATGACACCATGGCATGAAGTATGGGATCGGGCTGACCCTCATGGAATCTCTGGGTTGCTCAGACTTTTTTTGGCAGACCTTGAATGAATGTCTTTCATATTTGGCTGTCCATTACCATCTCATAGTAGAATTTTGCAGCCATCTAGTAATTTTCTGGGTTTCTGGTGGCTTTGGTCTTCTGTTTGTGGAGAGAAAGGTGCAGAGACCAAGCACTGCAACCTGAAATCCTGCCACTCTTAGTTCCATTTTGGCAGGGTTGTCTCAAACCTTACAGTTTGGGGTGAGTATTGCTGGCTTCACGGTCCATTTCATAGATCATTCTGTCTGAAGCTCTCTACCTTGTCTTTTGCTTCTTCCTCTGACTGCTTTGCAAAGTGCACTGAGAGAAAAGGTAAGGTATTAATCTTGTGAAAAGCTGGGCAGTGACTGCTATTCAGAGGGCATTGCGCTAACACTAGGGAAATGTTGGTAAGGCCTTTAAGTAGGATAAGACCAATGGATGTCAGTTCTTTCTTTAACCACTGCTGTGTCAGTGAGAAAGTCCTCCCCCGGGTTATCAAGACAGATTTTCCTACTCCTTCCTCTCTCATTTTGCTATGGACAAGTAATGCTATAGCCAAACACAGCACAAATGACACATGTCGAAGACACCTTAAAGATAGGAAGCCAGAGTCTCAGGGCAATGGGAATAATTTATTTCATGTGGAGCAGAGCAGTCTAGCTAGTGGCCTAGGAACAGTTCAAGCCCATGGAGTGCTCCTGGCCAGCCTACCACCTGCTTCCCAAGGAACTGCTGTCCAGACGGCTCACTGCCCCGTCTCTGCTGTAGCGGTCAGGCCAGACCAGGCACAGGTATAGCTGGGGGTGAACAGAAGGTGGGATGGGGATGGCTGTGGGTGGGTGAGGTCTGTGAGGGGTATCCAGCCCGCATGACTGTGAAAGCTGGACCACGCAGAGGAGGATTGATATTCAGAAATATTAAGTAGATGGCAGGATCAGGCCCATCCTGCCTAGGCAAGGGAATCTGAAGTCATATCAAATATCTTAGAGAGCTTAGAAACTGAAGAGAATTGGGTCAGCTCAGGTGGTTGGATTTTATGGCTAGCGTGTGTATCCAGAGGGTAAGGGCAGAGCTAAGTATGAATGACATTTACAAAATGTTCTTTTCCTTTCTTTTTGACTCCTAAGAAATGACTGTTGGAGAGTTGGTTATAGTCTTGCACCAGGAGAGAATGTTGAAAGACTTCAATAAAATATCTCAGAGGAGGCTGTCCTAAAATTCAATGGAATATACTGCACATTCTGAAAGATGTAAGAACCAGTCAAATTCACACTCTTGAAGGGAAGCTATCCACAAAAAGATGAGAGAGAATTGGATGAAGCACACAGGGGCTAGGATTCCCTTCACAATAACTATTCAAAAGTCCATTGCATGAAGTGTTCACAAGTAAAGGGAAAAGGTGCAGAAGAGCTGCCTGAAACATATTAGGTGAAAAGGATAAAAGGCAAGTCAAACTGAAGAGGGAAAAAAGCTATAGAGCTCAAACCAAAGCAGTAGGGGCAGGTACTAGAGTACCTGTATGTGACTTTCAGGCTAGATAATATAGCTGAAAACAGAGAGCTCAGCTGTGGTACTGAGATGCAGGGAACATCTCAAGATTCAAAACCACATTTAATTTGTAGAGAGAAAGAACGAACTTATGAAATGATCCAAAGAAAAAATAAAATGAGTGGCTGTGCCTCCTGTGGCAAAGTTTAAAGAATAGAACAGACCATGAGGGAAGATCCTGTGTTACAAGAGAACAGACAACCAGTAGATAAAGGCATGGGTAACAAAAGGGACACATCTATTAATAATACTTAGCTGTTTTGCCATCAGAGAAACCCCGTGATGACTCTGTGACACAAGTGCCTATGAGCTAATGCTTATAACATCCCTGTGAGGAAAGGGGTACTCTCATTTGTTAGATACAGCAGATGAAGCAACTTACCCGTGGCCACAGTTTTATAGCTATGATTAGATCTCATGACCTTCTGCCTCCATATCCTCTACTCTAGGCCATAGTTCCAGTACTAAAAGAATCTGTGCATGAAACACTGAATTTACATCATAAATAAAACCAAAGTTGTTCCAGCTGGGTCACACTGGCACAGAGAATCTAAAGAAAGTCTGGCAACCAGAGCAAATCAAAAGGACTAGAAACTAAATATCTTAATCACTTAGGAGACTGAACAAGAACAAATAGTTTGTGGAAAAAAAAATAAGTGTAGCTTGGTGACATTTTTTCCAGGGTGGACCTAGAACACAAAAGCATCAAAACATTTGTTCTGCAGAGCTGAACTGGACCACAAGCAAAACAGAAGACCTGTATTTATGATAAGAAGGAGAAATCTGAGTGGTGCACAGATGTTTCTAATCATCTTCTTACGTCATTTGACAAGCTGAGTGTGACTTTACATTGAAAGAGAGAAATATAAATGTAGTGAAATGAATTGCTGTTCAGAGAAAGATATGGAGAGAGTGACTGGGAAGACAAGTCTTCTTAGAATTTAAAACACCTAGAAAATCTGTGCTCCCATTATTTCCTTTTCATTTATGTATGTGCTTGTGTATACATACATGCATCTATATATATGCATGTACGTATATGTGTGCCTATTTCACATGAGAAACATCAAGGGCTAGGAACGAATTTTGTTGAATTTTTATAGTTGCTCTTTTGCTAAAGATGACACTGATGCAGAACACTTGCAGCCAAGAGGAAACATTGAGCTCCCCTGACTGGATGTGTTTTGATTTGGAGCAGTAAGTCTGGGCCCTTCTCAAATGCTTAAATGTTAGCCAGTTTTTCTTTCCAAGCCTTGTGCTTACTAGTGCACTCATTGTTTGATGTTTGTAGTAATCCATAAAATGAAGGGAATTTCTGTGGAGCTTTGTTCTTGTGAATGCTGCTGCTGTAGGACTGTTACTCAAGAATCTCTTCCTTATGTGAATAATTGATGGTCCACAATCCATATAAATAGATGCATTCATGTGTGTTCTGTGTAAGGATTACAGGGCTGAGGCCTTAGGAAAGTTTTTCCTTTGGAAGTGTAAGGATCAAAATTTGGCTGTAAGTTAGTAAGCAACTAGCTACGAGGAAAAACAGAAAAAGTCAAATTCTGAAAGCATAAAGTAGGGATGATCTCTTTAGCATTCATCTATCTATCTTCAGCGGAGTACCACAGCTCCCAGGTAAAAAACCCATATGCATATCTAAATCTTGCACTGAATCCTTTCCTATGCAGTTTTCCACAATTAATGGCCAGGCAAAGCCAGAGACACACAGAGAGATGGATAACTGTGTAGATACTAAAACCTGTGTTTCCTACATTATTGTAATTTCTACATACAGAAATACATACATATAATTTCTATATACGGAAAATTGGTTTTAAAAAGTGACTTAGAAGGTGAATAGGGCATGGACGTTCTCTGTCTCTCATAACGGAGAAAGTAGAGCATCAAATGAAATTATCAAGTGGCAGGCTAGAAACCAAACCAAAAAAGTCAGTGTATTTTTCACACAGCGCTTAGTCTGTAGAAATCATTGCCACAGGATATTGTGGACACCAAGTATGTAGCTGAGTTTAGAAAATACTCAAACAAATTAATGTTAAAAAAAAAAAACACCAGGGTATGTTATACCAAAAATACCATTGAGTTCAGGTAGTCCTTGAGTCCCAGATTGCTGGATGCTGCCAGAATATGCCAGGAAAGTATTCTATATGCTTGCTCTGTTTTTATATTCCTTCCATCAAATCTACTGTTTACCACCATTGAAGACAGGTTTCTGTGCTGGATGGACCTTTGTTCTGATTTAGTATGGCTGGTTTGATGCTCTCAGAGAAATCTTGCAGTAGTTAAATAAACCATTGTCTGTAAGTGTTTTCCCAATAGAGTGAACCCTGTGGAAAGGGGAAATATCACAGTTCGGTAAATATCAAGGTTCCTTTTTAATGTCATTATGATAATATTTGATCTACACATATAATGATGCTTTAATATTTCAGTGAGGTTTTCTGAAAGACTATATAAAAATGGAAAGAAGAATTCGAAAGCATTTCAATATAAGGCTTTTAAGGATCTAAATTTTTTCTTGACCAAGCATGGTAGTTCATTCAAAACTGCTGTTAAGATGGAAAGCGCTTCAAGTACTAATATTTTGAGCAATGAGCCCTAATGATACAAACACTTACGCACATGATCACTTCACACTTCTGAGTAATCCCATTGAACTGAATGGATCTAGATATGGTTTGAAAAGTGGTGTATATGTGTGTGTAGAACTGACGTCTAAACAACTTTCTAAAGATAGGCATATACCTGTCTTGTAATTTTGACTCCTGTGCCCATTTTAATTGGTTTTTCAATGTTCTAAATAATCATCCTAACACAGTCCTGTTTTTGTAATAAAGTGGATTTTTTTGAAATATCTGAACTGTCAGTGGTGATGTGTAGGACTCCAGGTGCTCCCGCTCATGGTATTGTGGAAGGAGATGACTTTAAATACGGGGCCCAGGTTTACTTCAAGTGCAACGCAGGTTACAGCTTAAAAGGCAGCCGTGTTGCCTACTGTCAGCTTGATGGGATTTGGTCAACACATCATCCTGAATGTGGTAAGGTCATTTTAAGTTTTGATTCTTATCAAACGTTTTGGCCAATGTATTCACATGAAACTAGAATGTCCAAATCTCTCTTGAAATTTGGTAGATCTGTAGCTTAACATGATGTTCTTTTGTCTTCCTGTCTTTAAGAAGCAGTAGGGATTCTTATTTTACTCTGCTGGAGCCCAAGCCTGCAAGACTTGCTTATATAAAGGTCCGACTGAGACATCAAATGACTGAAAAATAATTTCCTCAAAGACTTTAGGCATACATCCTTCTTACACACAGACTGAAAATGTCTAGGACCAAAACCAAGTGAGGGACATTGTGCAACAACAAATAGCTACTTCCATTACTAGGTACCTCTGATACCTTCTCTGCAGAAGTCTGGTGCACTCTGCGGAGGTGATTGGGGGCTTACTGCATGAAGACTAGACTCTTACTTCAACAGAATTCCCACCCTAGAGAAAAACTGAAAAAAGAGAAACTTCCATTCACTCTGGCTGTGCAAGTTGGCATGCCTAACATTCACATTGATTCAGCTGTAAAATTCCAAGTCCCTTCTTCTCATCCAAAGAGACTTTTAATTTTTCTTTAGTTGTTTTGTATTGCACAATTTTATTTCCATATTCCAGAATAATTTGTATCAATTGGAAAAGTGCTTTTACAAGTGTGTTGTGGCAAACAATGTAAATTTGGGGGGGAGTGTTGTGAAACAGCTGTATATAAGTTCATCTCAAAGAGCAAGCAATAGGCATTCTTCTATCTAGAGAGAACATCTCCAGTTGCAGTAAATGTAATATCAGGATTGTGCTAAAGTCCCTGCTGCGTGATGTCCCTGGCTAAAGATTTACTGAAAGATCTGTCTCTAGACTTGCCTGTTACTGAAGTGCTAGGTGGTGTAATTTAGGTCTCTCCTTCCCAGATGTTTTCTCTTTGTTTTTAATCCATCAAAAAAGTCATAAACCTGAGCTTAGGGAAGAAGAAAATTACTGTTCAAGTTACTGATAGGCATAGGATGAAATAAGAGAAGGCCTTCATTGATTTATTTGGTCAAGCTTAGGTACATTTGGAAACACGCACTCCGCTCATCAGATGATGCCTCTAGGCTAGATATCAGTGCAGAAAGCAACTTGCAAATAAAGCATTATACTGTGGGCATTCCCTGTAGTCTTTAGCTGCTATCAAGTTATCAGTTACTTGTGGTTCATGACTGAGAGATCCTGTGAGGTACAGAGAAGAAAAAAGGAGCCAAATTAAAAGGAGACAGGGCTCTGCTTCTCCCTTTCTCCTAGTTGAGAGGAAGTACAGACGTCCTCTTTGTTTACTGAATATGACTCATGTGGAAAAGTATTTAAGTACATATATAACCTTCAGCATATGCTAAAATCCAATATTGTTAAAGAAAGCACTGAAATATATGCTTAGCTTGAATTATATACTCAATGTTAAGAGCATATGCTCTTCATTGAACTTGTACTGTTACAGTTAGCTATGTGCTTACATGCTTTTCTGAGCTGGGCTCTGTTTGGTGACATGAGGATATGGGAACAGGACAGGGCCATACCTATGCACTGTTACTGTGCTCATTTCACAGGGATTTAAATAAATGTTTAAGTGCTTATGTTGGTACTTTTGTGAAGTGAGGCTCAGCAGGCAGCCGAGTCTGAAGCAATGACATGAAGAGGTCATTTCTGCTCAAGTGATATGTCTCAGTCTTCCCAGCTCTCCATAAGCAGAGCAGCAGCAACACTAGCTGTCTAAACTAGATGTTCACTGGTTATCATGCAATGAGACATCAGACAGAGGAATTAAACAGAATTGCATGTTACTGTCAACCTGACAAGAAAACTGAGATGAAATCCAAAGGAAAAAACAAGTACCTTTTCAGCTGCTAAATAGAAAGAGCAGAGGAGTGAAAAATATAGGGAAAAGCATTTATTAGCATCACATAGTGAATAATGTCACCTAGATTTAGGCCAAAAATTTAAGTTTATTGAGAGAAAAAAACACAACAAATAATAAGAAGGGGAAAATATTGGGAAGGAGGAAGTAAAGGAGGTTTTATAGGCAGAACCTATCCTGAGTAAGCTTTCCATATTAAATTTTTAGTATCAGTAAATATATATATATGTGTTCTCTTTCAATTCCCGTATTTCCCTGGATTATTGAGATCTCTCTCTCAGTGCTAAGAAGCCAAAATGCAACCAAACTTAAAAGTAAAATTAAGTAGTCTAGTTTTATTATCCAAGTCCAGTGAAGTATTGAAAGTACAGAAAAGAACGCTAAGGGCCTGTTTCCTGCAAATAGTTTAAGTGCATCCTTTTATGCTCTTGAAGTAGCCCTGTTAATGTTAACGGGACATTAACATCATGTAAAGTCAAGGTTCTTTTTCAGGATTGTCAGCTACGTTTTAAGGTCTTTTTAACAATTTGAGAATCTTACGCTTTCAGTGAAGACTAAAGTGTGTATTATAAACAGACATCTGTATATTATAATTTCTTCTTTAATATTTGATCTTTTCGAAGACAGAGATCCCAGATGGGTCTTGAAAAGGCATCTTTAATATAGTGTAGATTGTGTAGTAACATCTGAATGAAATGCCAAGCAATCTGATGGGTGAAAATAATGCTGTGAACTTGATAAAATGGTTACTATGTTTTCCCCTATCATTAGTTCTAGATGAAAAAAGCTGCTCAGATCCTGGTGGCCCACTCAATGGCTACAGAAGAGTAGTAGAAGACACTGGGCTCTTGAATGGACGCTATGCAAAAATTGGCACAGTCATTGCTTTCTTTTGTAACAACTCGTATGTTCTTAGTGGGAATGAACAAAGGACCTGCCAAGATGATGGAGAATGGTCAGGGAAGCAGCCAATCTGCATAAAAGGTAGTTTACAATCTTTTTTACCACAATTCACAAAAGCTGCTATGTTTTCCTGGAGTTTGTTTTATATAATTTACACTCGCCAAACAATCATTTTTGCTAAGAATAAACGGTCTGACTGACACCTGATACTGAGATTGGTAGTTTGCCAGCTCTACTGGATGCTAAGAAGCCAGAGAAGATGCCAGCGATTCCAGAAGATGTTTCCATCTTTAAACATGGAAAGGAATATTCTCTAAGACCCTTATTACCCTCATTCTAGGATCAAACCTCAAAATCAAAGAAGATCAGGAGGGAATTGAAATAGAAGGAAATAATTGTCTCATCAGAGTTGCTGTCATAGGGCTGAGCTCTCCTTTCACAATTAAGTCAATGGGACCAGTCATGAGTTTAAAAGGCCAAGCCTGTAGATTGCTGCCCTGAAGGACATGCTTAAACTATCTGTATTCATCAAAACACTGAAACACATCTTTAAATACTTTCTTTGCTAGAAAGGGAATTATGCTGTTGACCTGAAGCTACTCTAAGCATGTCTGAAACCCTGAATAGATGAATGAATTTGGGCTGGGGAACTGCCAAATTCATTTTCCCAAAGCAATTGTTTGACACATATTTTAATGGATTTTTTTTTTAATTGAAGTAATGATAATATTAGGAAATATGTCTGTCCCCTGGGGAATTTGCTTTATTCTGTTATTTTAGATGGAAATACTCTCTCCCTGAAGTGTATAATCATCTGTGGAAAGCATCTTTATTGATGATAATTATTTGTGCAAAGCATCTTTACTGATGTTAACTTTGATAGTGACATAAAGGTTAACATACGGAATAATCACAAAGAGCTAGATATTGTTAAATCCCACAGATCACAAGTGCTCAGGCATACAGATAAAATCCATCCTGCAAGATTCCTTTTCTTCCACTATGCGCATCAGGAAAGAGATCTTGGCAGAGTTATTTGAACTGATAAACTTGAATATTTTATTCTGCTCTTAAAGTAAATAAACTGAATATGCAAAATTAGAAATCCTGGATCTCCCTTCTGTTATTTTGTGCATATTCAGGTAACTCTGAGGTGTTCCTCAGAATCAGAGTCTCCAGCTCCTTCCAATGGGTGCACAAGCAAACACACTCTTAGAAGTCTGTAACATCCTGCAGCCTTTCTCTGTATGCTGAGTCAGTGGGATTAGCTGTGTGTGGCTACACAGATGGAAATTAAGTATTTTTTATATAATTCCATTATTGTAAAAGTTTGCTTAGATTCCAAACCATCAGCTGTAGTGGTGTAAATCTGGCATTTAGACACACTGATGAACAAATCTTGCTCCATGGCTGAAAGTGCCAGTGCAGAAGACGCTCAGTTGCTTCCACCGTGGTAAATGGGATAGATCTGGCGATCTGTGGGGAAGTATGTTTCCAAGGCTTTAGGTGTTAGGGCCTATCTTACTTTAATGCACGTAACTTACTGCCTCTTTTCTTAATCCTGTCCACTTTTTGAAATGTGTATGAACCATTACACTTGAGCTGTGAATGTGGAAAAGTACTGTGCAACATTATATTTTTTCTAGCCTGCAGAGAGCCAAAGATCTCTGACCTGGTGAGACAGAAAGTGCTTCCAATGCAGGTTCAGTCAAGGTGAGAACGCAATATCTCAACTACAGTTTAAAGAAAAAATGTGACTGCTTTTCCCCTCCTCTCCTTTCCACTCTGTGTGTTTAGCCTGCCTGAGCAGCCATTCCTACAACTCTGCTGATAACCGAGCAATGAGAGCTGCCAGGAGGGGAGGTCCGATTAAGCACAGGTTTGCAAGCTGCTGGAGGCAGCCAGGAAGAAATGCACAGTTAGAGATGTGCAAACTGCTGGACGATGATGGAATTAGGCTTGCAAGCTTGTGACAGGCTATAAGAACAGTCTGAGAACAGTTCCTTGGGGCTAATGATGTGTTTTATAATATGAACATGTGCTGTCTTAGTGAAGAAATGAGTGGGGAGAGCACAAGGAGACAAGGGGGTATAGCAATGTAATCTGCTCCCATTAAGTTTCACCATCCAAAGCAATATTACACAATTGATATAAAGTTGGCTTTGGGGTGGACATGAGAGAGAGGAGAAAGTAGAGTAGGAGGGGAGGAAGGAATGGAAGATCGGACCCTGTCTGGGCTTACCCTTCTGCTGATTTCTTGAAATAAGCCCAATCTGAATTAGTCATACTGCAGTGTTCAGGTTCATTTTTGTCCAAGTAGTAATTTCTCATTTCAGTTGTTTTGTTTTGTTTTTTTTTTTAGTACATGACTCATTTATTTTTAGATGCAGTGCAAGAACTGTCCTCATCTTTAGTCTTAAGAACAGCCATACCAAGTCAGAATAAAGGTGCAGCTCAAGCCGTATCTTGTCTCTGGCAATGGCCAGTAGCAGATGCCTAGAGAAGAGTTTAGGAAGAAGGCAAGCATGTACTTCCCAAATACTCTCCCACTCTCTAGCTCTGTGATGTATGATTGTAGAGATGGCCCTGAGAAGCCATCAGGAAACTTTAGTAGCCATCAGGGGATTTTTATTGCTTAAATTTCTCAATTCACTTTTGAACACAGGTCTTTTTATGCTAAATGTTTCAGATATTAACACCAGCTGTATGAGAGCGCATACATGCCCCCCACCTCCATAGCATCATGATGGCATCTCATGTTCGTGGACTGTTTTTATCCCTTGAAGTAGGATCTCCATTTCATAGATTAATAGTGAGGCAAAGTGTGGATTATGCAATATTGCAAGGTCACATGTGAGTAGGGAGTGGGAGCCTGGCAGTCTAAGCATGACCACAGCAGCTCTCATCCTTCTTCCAAAATACAAGAAACTTGCCATTGCTCTTGTTCTTAATAACTTTACTTTCCTTGAGTGCTGTTACGTGTTGCCTCACAGATTCTATATGACAGAGGCAGTCTGTGTCTCTCTGTGTTTAAAAATGGAATTACCACGTGAAAAAAACATTCTTACGGCTTTTCTGGATGCAAGCAGTACCAGAAATCTCAAGGGAAATTAATTTTCTGAATTTTTCAGACGTAAATAATTTTTTCTGTAGATATGTGCTTTTAAGCATTAGAGCAAGGGACACATTCTAAGTGATGAAGATTTAAGTATGGCTGTAGTCAAGCTTATGGTCCATATCTAGGCTGGTGCATATATTTATTTTTTTAATTATGTGCCATGTTTCAGCTAATCAGTACAATTTCTAAATGGAAGCTTAATGATTATTGCAATTATGAAATCTCTGTGGTGAGGCAATTATCTCTGTTAATTGCTAAATCACGCAAATTTATCAACATGATTTAATCTGAATCGATTCCTAATACTGCCTATTAAAATGTTCACTAGAGAGAAGATGTGCCTAACTCCTCTCTAGTGAGAATTAATTACGGCAATGCCAACTTCCAGTGTAATTTCTTTATTTAAAAACATGGTATCTCAGTCCTTTTGTCAATGGCAAAAACTCTTCCACATTCAGAGGCAACTGGTTGCAATCCAGAAACTGTAAAATGAAAAAAAAAGAGACACAAATATAAAATTTATAAACATGTATTTATATATGTGTACATATATATATGTAAATAAAATAGCTGTAAATGGGAATATTGCTAAACTATGTTGGAATTATATTTTTGCCTTATTCTTTCACAAGCAAACTTCATATGCTTTTAAATGATACTTAACACAGCTGGTGATAAAGCTATGGTAATGATAGCTTTTATAATATTATTATTATTACCTTGTGTTCTTTGTGCCTTGAAACAGGGAAACACCTTTGCATCAGCTTTACTCATCTGCATTCAGCAAGCAAAAGCTTGAAATCTATCCAACCAAGAAGCCAGCACTGCCATTTGGAGACCTGCCCCCAGGGTACCAGCATCTGCACACTCAGCTTCAGTATGAGTGCATTTCTCCTTTCTACCGCCGCCTGGGTAGCAGCAGGAGGACTTGTCTGAAGACAGGAAAATGGAGTGGGAGAGCCCCTATGTGTATTCCAAGTGAGTCTCCAAGGGAAAAAAAATGCACACATCTCTGGGTGGATGGGGGAACAGGATGTGTATTCATCTTAGATAATTAGGGAGTCCCAGCGGTGTAGGCTGCATATGCTTCCAGCTGGGAGATAGGAGCAATAAAGCTTGGAGGATATATGGCTCTTTTTATCCATCATTAGAACTTGTGCAGTTGATGGTAAAGGGATCAAGCTTTCAGCACTGTAATTTGCCATCAATTTTTCTGCTCTTTTATTGAGCAAAAGGTGTAGTGAGTTTCTCTCCTGATTTGAAAATGTTTTCCTACTATCACTTCATGTTTTCCTGTATTATTTACTGCAAATGTGATTTTTCTTTCATCTCTATACTTTGGCACACAGCTAACAAAAACATCAAAGTTTAAGCAATAGTATGGAGAGTCTGTATTTTAAAGAGGCTCTTCCTTTAATATACCCTGCTAAGGAAGGGTTCATATTGCAAACTGTAAGTCCAGATAAAATCTGATCCAGAGCTAGTGCACAGAGTAAGTCAGGGTAGGAACATCACAAGATTTGGTACAACCCACTACTGACATCAGGCAAACTGTGAAAAGTAGATCCTAACATCAAGCAAATTTTTAGAGTTCTTTGTTGTGGTTTCAATTTGAGATCATCTCATGTATTGAAAAGTATTTCATCCAATCCTTTTTACCATGGGCATGCACATACTACATCCCAGGAAAAAAAAATGTCCTAAGGGAGATTAAAAAATGTGACCACTTGATGTAACTCTTTCAACTGAAGTAAACCTTTCCTAATACAGGAGATTTTACCCCAGGTCTGAGCCCGGGTAATATATTCCTAGAACAGGGCAGAGCTTTTTCTTTTCCCCAGGACGGCTGTTGTTTTAGATGCATTTGCTTCAAGGTTCTTGTTGCAAGACGAGTGTTCTCATAGGCATGAACTCATCTGTGCTAAGGTCAGTTCTAGGAGAGGACCTCGCAATTACTCTGTGGCTGCCTAGGATGAGTTTTAGTGCACTGCTGCCTTTATGGTGTTTTATTATAAGCAAGAATCAGGGGTGTTCTTTCCATTTCTTTATGCAGTCATCTCATTATAGTGCAGCTTGATAAGGTTGTCATGAAAATTCACCTGCTCAAGTGCTAAATCCACATTCCTACTTCAGCCAGGAATTCAGATAATAATGGAAAAATTGAAGGGTTTTTTTTAAAAGCTATATAAAATACTCTTATATTATAATTTTGCAGGCTGGAGACAGAGGTTAATTAGAAAGCTGTCCCTCATGCTAACCATTGCAGTTTGGTTTCTTTTGGCACATCCTAAGCAGGAATCAAGAGTGATACTCAGATTCTTTGGTGGGGAAAAGGCGTTACCTCATTCTTGGTTCATGTTTCCTCAGTCTGTGGAAAAGCAGAAAACATCACCCTTCAGAAGACAGTGACCTCTACCAGGTGGCCCTGGCAAGCGGCAATCTATCGGACAGCCAACGGGGTGAAGGAGAACAGTCTCCGGAAAGGGGCATGGATCCTTATCTGCAGTGGGGCCCTGGTGAACGAGCGCACCGTGGTGGTGGCAGCTCACTGTGTCACTGACCTGGGCAAGACCATTGTGCTCAAGACAGCAGAGCTCAAGGTAGTTCTGGGGAAATTCTACAGAGACGACGACAGGGATGAAAAGACCATCCAGAACCTGCGGGTGAGTAAGTCTGCTGGGAGAGGAAAATGATGAGCACAGAAAGATGCTGATCACAGCCGTCTTGTATGGGGAGAAAAATGTTATCCTTTGAGCCATATATTGTTTTACACACTGTTCTTTGAAATGCATATCTAGAGACTCAACTGACAGAACTGTCATGGCACAAGGAGGGCACATGCTATAGTTCATTAAATTCCCCTGACGCTGTCCAACTCATATGTTCACCCCCTAACACAGATCACTAAGAAAATAGCTCAGGTTCCATGGGGCATAATATCTTGAGTGATATTGCCAGAAAAAAAGTAGAAAAGATGCCAGCTACTGTCAAAAGTTATTACCATAATTTATGAGGGAAACACTTGTGCTCTGGATCCCGGTTTGATGCCACGAGTGCATTTCACATCTCGGCCCCAAGGCAGTACAGCTCTCAACTCAAAAGAAGTTTATGTCTGACTCCAGCTCCAAAAATAGCACCTCAGGCTCACCAGAGTGCTTTGTTTTTTTCAAGTAGAGCTAGAAAGGTTGAAGGCAAAATGAGGAGAAATACAGCAATTTTGGCTGTGTGTGTCTCTTTTTCTGGAGTGGGGGGGCATGTGAGTTAATTAATGGATTTTATCCAAGAAATCATAGTTAATTTGATTCTTCCCCCTCCCCCCACTTTTTAGTTTCTTTCTCTAATTCCAGCTTTTTTAGAGTTTTCCTGTAAGGAAATATATTATTTTTTACAATATTTCCTTATAGGAATCCTATCCGTTCTTGTAGTGTTTCATCAAGGTAACCAGCAGTAAAGGTTTGGCCCCAACATTATGTAATGTATCGCTAGTATTCTTTTTTGGTGGGAAGATGGTTGAATTTCAATAAGAAGACAACATTTTAATTCAAAGCCCCCTCCCCCCCCCCTTCAAATTCTACAGGCTGAAGATGACATGGCAGGTAAAATCCTTCCAGTATACAGTGGAAAAACTTGAACTGCACATTAACTCCCCATTTTGTTGAAAATGTCTTTGACTGCTTTTCATTAGGAAGCGTTTCATGCAATAAAAACTGTCCTGAAACCCAAGCCAAAACAAAAGTCAGAAGATGCTTGATCTCTGCATGTTTCTCATTTGAGTGAGCACTATGGTGAAAGAACAGTTTGGGAGTGGAGGGTAGAGCAAAAGTATGCAAAATAAGTAACATGCACTATAGTAGTATGGAAAGAGGGCTGCTGATTTGCCATAGCTGTTAACTCTACGATTCTTCCTACTCTGTTTCCTCCCCAGATTTCTGCCATCATAGTGCATCCCAATTATGACCCTATATTACTTGATTCTGACATAGCTATCATAAAACTCTTGGACAAAGCCAGAATCAGCAGTCGTGTTCAACCCATTTGCTTGTCATCTTCTCATGACTTGACTTCATCCACAGAGGATTTAAAAATAATGGTTACTGGCTGGAAGGTATTGGCTGACATTAAAGATCCTGGATACAAGAATGACACAATCCGCATGGGAGCTGTTCGGATGGTGGATTCACTGTTGTGTGAGCAACAGTATGAGGATAATGGGATACAAGTCAGCATCACTGACAGCATGTTCTGTGCCAAACAAGACCGCACAGCCTTTTCTAATATCTGCCCTGCTGAGACTGGTGGGATTGCAGCTATAACTTTGCCAGGAAAAGCATCTCCTGAGCTAAGGTGGCACCTGATGGGATTAGTGAGCTGGGGTTATGATAAAACTTGCAGCCTAGAACTCTACAGTGGCTACACCAAAGCTCTTCCCTTCAAAGACTGGATTGAGAAGAACCTGAAGTAAAAAGCTGTGTCTGGAAATCGCATTTTATAACTATCATAATATCTCTCTCAGTCTCTGCTGCTTTAGGCTTCTCATCCCAGTGATGAGCCACGTCTGGGATAAGGTTAAGGCAGACAGCCTGGTAATTTGTCCTAGGATCAGATGTTCCATCAGGCTACTTTTACTTAACCCATGACAGAGGGTCTTAGTGCATGAGAAGTTTTGCCCTATTTCGCCTGTCTCCCCTGGTGGGAGGATGATGCTCTGCTCCTGAGTCTGACATACAGAAACAGGACAGCAAATTCTGAGTGAAATTAATCTGTAGTGTGGAGTCCCCTAGAGAAATCAACGGCGAGCCTCTCCCAAAGATCTGTGTGACTGAGCAGATTAGGAGGCTGGAAAGAGTAGCCTGAATTCATTATGATGGATGAGCTTGTTACGGTATGTGCTGTCTGTATTGCCATAGTACAATGTAATCTTTTTCCCTCCCAAGTACTTTACACATTTAAATAAACCATGGTTTGTTTTTTTCACCTACATACCCATGTCTGACATTATTTAGATTCCTTGTTGCTTTATCTATGTCACACTCTAGGGACTCTTTACTGCCCTTGTCTGTTTGCATGTGACTCTCACGTGGGACTCTTCAGGCACACTGAAAGGCAGAATTAGTACAAAATTCAATTACAACATAAATAACAAGATTTTTTTTCTTAATACATCCAGTGCTGCTATTGTTGTACATGAACCATTGCAATGAAATGTACAGGGGAGTTCTCTCCCACCTTGTATTCTGAACAGATGAAAACCTGAAACATACTTCTAAAAACATTTTCCCATATGGATTATTTCAAAGACCTATGACTACCTCAGGAAAACTTCTGGTTTCCATCAGTTCACATACTTTTGTGGCAAAACAACCCCCCTGTAGCTCTTCAGGGTGAAGAATAATGTCCAGGTCTCACACTTAGCAGAGGCTTTTCTTGCCTGGACGGTTTGACATCAAAGTGTAAGATTCTCCCATTGGGCATGTTGTCCAGTGGCGAGACTTTGGTCTCCCCATGGTCCTTAATCACTGCTCTTTCACTAAATCATTTTCTATTCAGTTGTGGCTAAAGACTAGAGATGAGCCCTAGAAAACATTGGGGAGGAGGGACAGGGGAATGTCTCCCATCAGTGATGACTCCTGGATGAGTCATCTATGACACTCTGGAATTTGGAGGACCTCCAAATTGTTACAGTGCCCAAACCAGCTCACAGCAATAGTTGGATGTGAAGGCTGGGGATCTGATGAAAGGATTTAGTACTCTCACCAAGAAGGACTCAGATCCTGAAGTCGTGTTCTGCCTAGCCTATTGCATGGCTATGGCAATTGTAAGCTAACAAGTCTGATTTCAGCTCTGATTCTCTGGTGCTGTGAAATCTTGTTAAGAGTTTCTTAGCATTCAGTAGTTTCCACTTACTTTTGAATCTGAAAATTGCTGCTAAAAGGGCAATTAGTATTGGAGGTCATTCCATGTAATTTATTTTTCGCTTTTCTGGGCAGAAAGACTTAATGTGTTATGCTTTTGCACTTTTCTTATTTTCACTGGCAACAGGACCAGGTGATGTTGCTTGAATCAAAAAGTTTAAGGGCTACCACCAAAGTATATTGCTTCTCTTTATCTTGTTTGTCTGTCTCCTCCTGCCAGGAGATTATGCTTGGCTGACAAACTGCATGGCAACAACAGCAACAAAAATTCTGAATTAAATGTGAAAAATAAGATGTGTTTCATTCCTCTGCAGGGAGGAACATGTGCCAGTGAACGTGTGGTACTCCCCCGCTGACAGAAGGGGTTAGAGGAAATTAGGTGACAATATTGGAGGGCAAGCTTGCAGAAAGTTAACATGTGTTTCTTCCTAACACTATTGACGAAGAATGAAATGAGAAAGGAACAGAATTGTTTATTGGAGCCTGGCTTGCCCAGTCAGAGCTCTTCCATGATTACATTAAATGAGAGTCTCTACACTCTAATGATAAGAGAAATTCTTTTCTAAAACAGAAATCATAAAGGTCTGTGAGCTGGTTCTTTTCTCATTTGTGACACGGTGACTGCATTGCTCTCCATAGCGTTATTGTTCTCCACTGCTACAACTGAGAGAAGAAATGTTTTTTTCTGAATGTTTTTTTCTCCCTCTAGGATTTGTCCAGTAGAGAAGTAGGCAGTCCACACGGATCTGCAAAAGTCTGCGTTAATTCCAGCTTTAGCCCTCACTCTTCTCCTTTTATTAAAGATCAGCCATGCCTAGTATTTACCAATCCTCTAACTCCTCCTCAGTGTTGAATCCCATCCCCATTTGGCTTCAAACCACTCACAGATCTGGCAAGGAATAGCTGAAAGTTTGCGGGCTTGGGCAGCAACAATATAGCTCTTCACTGGCTGTGTATCACACAGAAGTATATTCTTGAAGAGAAACTTGAAGGAATTCATGGCGTGAAAATCACAGGAGGAGGTTGCTACAGCTGTGCATGCACAGCAGAATTCAACCCCCCTTCTTTTTATAGTCATGATGCTCTTCAAAGAAAACAGAAGCAAAAAATGGCCAGGCTTCTCTCAACACCAGGATTCAGATTTTAGCATAGTCCTTTATAGAAAGAGGAATTATCTGAAGCATTTGGTTCTACTTCTGGACCTCAATGATGTTTGAATCCTAGATTCAATTCTGGCTAATCTCTAAATGCAAAAATAATGTTTTATTTCTATTGTTATATGACATATGCATTCACATGTACGGGTGGGCAGTCATATCAACACAGCCAAGCACCTAGTATTCGTAGGAACTGCAAATCAGCTTGTCCATCCTGTCTGGCAGGCTGACCCATAGTAGTTACGCACTTACAGCCCGAGCAGAACAGGGGTTAACATCTAACGCCAGTAATGAGGAAAAATAGGGGATGAATGTTTGAAAAAAACAACCTGTGAGCTGGAATTACTAATCCCTTTGATAGCTAGGATCTATTTTTAAGACGCAAAACTATTTCAAACATCTCTTTCTAAACAGGTGAGGATCTATGCCATCTGTTGGAGAAAGGGTGTGAAATAGCACAACATAGATAGCAACACATCTTTCTTACGAGGAAAAGAGCTGTGCATTCTGGAAAGGCCGTAAAGATACTGCTATCAAAAAAAGAGAGCATTCTTACTCACTCCAATGGATTTATACTTCTCCCTTTGTATGTTTTTGGGGCTGGGGCTGCATTAAATTACTTCCAAAAGCCAGGGGGCTTAGCTGAAAAATAGCACTGTAAGGAAATGGACATATTGAAGTACATGCTCTTCTCAGGCATACCTTCAATGACTCTAACAGAATTGCCCTGGTAACTTGTTTCCCTTGAAAACCTAAGTCCATGGTAAGATTACAACAAAAAAAGTGTATTTGATTAGGACTAAGGAATGCATACTAAGCTGCATCCTGACATCAGCTCGATTGCAGGACAGGCGTCCTGGGGGAGCGGGAGCGGTGGGCAGGTTCAGGCAGCCTTTGCTCGGCTGTGCATCCCCTGCAGCCTCGCAGCTCCTTATGGTGGCAGGGAGCTTCCCGCATGGCTGCTGGCTTTCTGTGCTGCCTCCTTGGTGCACAGGGAACAGGCTATGGCAGAAATGTTTGTTCCCTGTGAAACGGGACATCAAGTTGGTCAGACTTGGGTGGAAGGACAGCACGGAGGCTGGCAGGCAGAGCCTCAGCTGGGGGAAACTGAAGCGAAGGCGCATGGCAGTGTCTTGACACGGCATGAGCGTCCCGTGCCTCAGCACAAGAGTGCGGTTACCGAACGGGACAAGCACTTCCTGCCCTACGCTGCAAACATGGCCCAGCTGCAGCCTGCAGGCCAGGCA